AGCCACCGTATTCACCAGATTTGCCCCCTGCGACTTTTTCCTGTTCCCAAGATTAGAGAGACCCATGAAAAGATGGCGTTTTGCGATGATTGATAAGATAAAAACTGATTCGCTGAAAAGCTCAAGGACATATCAAAAAGTGCATATCAAAACTGCTTTGTGGAATGGAAAAAACGCTGACACAAATGTATTTATTATATCTAACGGGACTATGAAGGATACAACATGGAAATTTATGAATAAATAAATAGTTTTTAAGAAAAAGTAAAATTTGCCCGATTTTTTTAACCGACCTCGTACTTTTTTGTTTTTTTTTTTCTAAATAATTAGCTGAATCATTTCTCAAATTTTTCTACGGAACTGCAGCCTGATAGCCCTCTCTGCGTCTCAGACTCGGATGATATTTTTTTTTTATAATTGTCGCGAGGAAGTTAGGTAGGTATGTCATATCAGAATATGGCAACAGGTCCTAATTATTTTTATTACGCAAACCTCCATCATCCCGAAAACTACCTGATGGCGCTAACTCTGAAAAGAAATACCTAAAGGGCGTTAACAATACAATAGGAAATCAAGAACAACAAAGGGCGAATAAACCTGCCACGCCAGAAGTCAAGAGACAAAATCCCATTAGGTCCGTTCCCGAATAGAGGTGGGAGAAGTTAAGACACTATCAGTACGGACCTTGTACCCTTTGATTAAACATACAAAAATAGCTTCAATTAGTCAGGTAATAGAGCAGTAAATTACTGGATGCTGATGTATTAATCTTAATCGAGAACTTCGCGTACTCGATATCGACTTGATAACCTGTTGAAAATTGTAACTGTATCAAGTCAGAAATTACATGAAATATTCGCCGCGCACACCTCTACTCGAGGACTGACTGGAGTGACTGGAATGGGAGAACCAGGGCAGGCATAGGAATCGTTCAACGCTGACTGATACCAAAATCCAACAATTGAGGTCGGTCTTTGCTCTTTTGTTGCAACAATGGTGATGTGCAAATCAAGGACATTTTTTTATGTCAACTCGATAATTTGACGAACAAGAGAGTGAGACGTGTTATTCGCAATTATTTTTCACAAGTCAAAAATTTTATATAGTTGCATAACAATGAAAATATAATTTTATCGAATTGAATGAACATAATTTAACGACCGAGATGAGTTGAGATAGGCTACAATCAAGCGCCAGAAAATATTTTCAGAGAATTCCACGCTTTTTGATTGAATTCGATTAAGGAAAAATGTTACGCTTGAAGAAGTTATTGTATAGCGAAACACGTGCGGTTTTTGTAAAACCCTTATATAGTGAAAATCATACAACGAACTGTATTGATTAGTTTTTTAATATGGATTTTCATCAAGTATCGGCCAGTTCTATTCAATTATTAAAGAAAAATCTTTGACTTCTACACATACGAAATTTTATCTGCATATGGATGTATCTATTTCTGGCACGTTTATGAATCTCAAGCTATGATTCTTATACATACATATTCAAGAATATTTGATATGCAAAAAAACCTCAGATGTAGGTATCACAGTGGACAAAACATTTTGTTTCATACATGTAGAGACTATTTGAAAGTAACTCAATTAATATAAATCTGCCACCACAATAGAATGAAAATGAATTGAAAATACCTGAACAAAAAAATTAGTTTCAACGAGTCATTTTGCATATATTGAACTTGATGTCAATTCGATAAGTTAGTAACAAACAACAAACTTATAAAAATAATTTTAAGAATGCATTTTTCGTTATTTACCATTACTGGCCAATAGATTCGAACATATACTGAAATACTTTGTACAGGGAATTGCAACAGTTAGTATGTCAGGGGTATTAGTCCATAAAAAAGATCCTTATAACCAGTGTTCAATGAGATTTCATAAAATATTCTCCGTACAAAAATCACTTTTTGTACGTATCCGCTAGGAAGACCTCATCATGAACGTAATGATGAGCACTTTTAGTTCTGTTCTTCTGATATTTGTGAAAAAGTGAAAGACATTATCGGTTCTTTTTCGTATGGATTCAAGAAGTCCAAAAGGGATACTAAGCATTATCAAATCTTCACCACAAGCTGCCTAGCAGTGCAATGATTTCTGGTATGAGAAAGAAGTTTTTTTTTGAGAAGCTGTTTCGGAGTACCGCTAATCAAGATACCTAGCATGTGAAGGGTCTTCCAACAGGGACTTCCGTACTTTGCCAATTGATGGCGGCCATCTTGTTGAAGCTACGACTTTCAAATTGTTTGTCATTCATTCAGTCGGTTTTGCCATATCATCATGGACGGATATAGCATTCAACAATATGTGCCAATGATAGAACTGATTTATCAAAATGGGTGTCCTGTTTGGGCAGCTTACCGCGCGCTTCTTCCATTTTATGGCATGTGGTTTCAACAGGACGGCGCTACGTAACGAAAAGCTTATGCTACATTGGTTATTCTGCACGAGCGATTTGAAGGCATGGTCATCTCACGTACAAGTGATGTGAAGTGGTCACCGAGAGCGTACGATTTGACCCGTTAGACTTTGTCATTTGGGATTCTCTCAAGTCGCAGGTGTATGCGAATAAGCCACACACCACAGTGGTCCTCAAAACCAAGAAAATCCATGCCATCGGTCAAATTTAGCCTGATTCATGAGCCAGAGTAATGCAAAATTGGACGTTACGGATAAGCTCCACCCAAAAAACCGTGGCGGACATTTGAACAATTTTATATTCCACAGATAATGACATCAATACGACTTTCAAACGAATAAAAAATGTTAATGATATCTCACACACACGTTGATTTATTTAAATTTAAAGATAGTAAGCGCTTAATGAAAGACAATAGTTTTCTACTTTTTTTAATGAAATGCCAATTTCACGTTTTCCTGGAATTTTATTCAACAAGATTGAGGAATCAAAATTCTGATAAACCCCTTATGTATACAAGCAGTAGAATTTTTAATGGACCTGTTAACAGGTATCAAATGCAACTAAAAGAAAAAACATGTCATTCGTTTGAAGTTTTATGCTGATCTGAGACTGCACAATTTATTTTGCGTTATTGAAACAGTAAGAAGTGTTGATAGCAATTCGAAAATCAAGAAGTTACTAAAATATTTTTGGGGAATATAACTATCATTTAGTGAGTAAATGACGGTTCGACAAAGTAGGTATAAATACCAAAGCGTAATGAAATAGAAAAAAACATTCGTACAAGATATTTTGTCAATAAGTCACAGAATATATTCATGAAATATACATTAGCAACACTTTTTAGCTTGAAGTACCAGATGCTCTCGATTGTTTTATTTTTTAAAACTGGTCAATTGTGTAGCACAAAGTAAGATTCGTAGTTCGCCACTGAAATACATTACATAGTTTGCTTCACTAAACTGCCTAATATTTAAACCGGTTTTACTGGTAGTAATTGAACTACAAATTGTAAAAGTTTACTACTTATATCAAATTATGAATACAAATCCATATACTGCAACTACCTTGCGAAGGTAGTTGCAGAACGACCACTGATCAGGTTTTCACTAGATTAAGGAAAATGCTAGGTCTGTCAACACTAGAGTGGCTTATTCTCCACAAAAATCAGACTTCAGTAGCAGTGCATCATACATATACTTTGTGCCTGCTCCCACTCGGACCGAATAAGGTTTTGAGCCTTTGGAAAAATCCCACCCTTGCCAGCTGACCTGAAAGAGCGTTACGAAGTTGGATTCATTTGGCCGAGTTAAAATATATGTGAAACACAATAAATCCTCGTAGGTTGCAAATGGAGGGTCGAATAGACCTACTCACTTCAAATCTACCCTTCCGTACCCTTATTCATGTGTTATTACTTTTTAATATAATTTTTCTAATGCTAGGTACTAATAAATTCTTGAAGCACTCCAATATTTTTATAGTTATCATTGTGATATACAGTCGGATGAAAATTTTCCAAGTAAATGATTATGATTGGTCTTGTTGGAAGGTCCTATTGAGGCTAACGTTATGAACTCATTGAATAAAATAGATTCTCAAAATATTTCTGGATAGGCTGGAACACTGATAATACGAGTACATATTTCTGAAATTTATATATATATATCGATAAAGATAGTTTTCTTTCCATAAGTACTTCAAACTTCTTCAGTAGAATGAATTGATGGATATTACCATTACTACGTGGTAGGAGATCATAATGAAAAATGAGACTTGAATATTGGTATGTTTTTATACCACTTTTTATTTTTAACTAACATTACTGTAGTTTCGTCCTACAAGGGCATTTTCAAACGAATACAATGAACTACATAAACTGTTTATTGCATTCGTTTGAAAATTTCCTTGTAGGACGAAACTGCAATAACACTAGTTATAAATACAAAGTTATATGAGAACATAAGGGGTCAAAGTTCTCATTTTTCAGTAGAAGATTCTCTTTCATTCACAATGATAGTTAAATTTTCATCTTCACGTATAGGTCTTGATTGATTAAAATATAAATATCCGAAGAGTTGCTTCCGATTTTTGCAAAATATTTTGGCTCGTAAGTTAAATCAACACTTTTGAAGTTGAAATTAGTCAAGAAACAGAAAATAAAAAGATTTGACTTAGGTACTGCGCTCATGTATTTGAAAATCTTTGTAACGTGCCAGTTTATTCAATAATAGTTCAACGTAGCGAATTAACGTGATATTTCTAATCATAACTTAGTATTGACGCTTTTTGCTTTCAAATAAAACTATTTTAAAATAATGCGAAATCTTGAAATGATGGTTATAGGAGACACACACGGTATTTAATCTTCAACAATCATTCCCACTACAGTTTATTATCGCTCAATATAACAAAAACCCAATTTTGGAAACCCTTTATTTCAACTAGATGCAGGTGTAGTGGAAGTTAGAGTTCTTGAACGAAAGAAACACAGTATCCATCTGAACGACAGATGGCGTGCTGAAATATACTCCTAATCGATAGCTTCGAAAAACTATATAGTCATCATAACAGAATCATTCTGCGATTTTGTTACTTCAACATGACTCGATCAAAATTCTCGAAAAGGTATTCCCGTTGTCCCGAAGAGCGAAACCGGCCCTGTCCGTCCAACAATCCCACTTCCACAGCAGGTCAAACCTGGAATGGATGGAAAGCGGTCATCAGTGTACAGGTGTTTTTAAATGTAGTTTATAGTGTTGTGAATTTTTAGTTTTAAACACGTAAGTTTAATTTCTTTAACAGTTTATAGGTCAACTCTGTGACCGCAAGAAAACCGAGAAGTTTACAGGTTATGTGTAAACACGATTGTTTGAATTTGTTGATTTCTAGTGCATTAAATGAGTGCAGTGTTCTCAATCGGGACTTGCGGGCCTCAATCCCAAATGTAACGTTACTTTTGTACTGTTGACGTGTTGCGGATACCAGCCATACCTACGTGATTATTTGGGCTTCGTGTGATTTTCGTTTATCAATCATGTCATATCAATCAAATATTGTTGTTATTCGTTTGTGATGTAATGATTCTGCGTACGCGAGCATAGTAAATTGTTTCGAAAAGTGTCATTAGATTTGCAGTTTCTAATGAATTTTGCAATAACCTATTTTCCGAACGTTACACGATTTTGTTTTATGTAAGTACCTAGTAGATACCTATATACCTAATTATGGTGAAGTCGTATGTTCAAATTTCAATTCCCTGCATTAGATATCTGCACACTTTCTTTTTTTTTTCATATATGTGCCTATTGTTTCCTTTCTTGAATGAAGCAATCAAAAATAAAAGTGAGTGGGTACCTATGGAAAAACTAAATGAAAAACCGTGAGTGTCTGAAAAAAGCCTGCGAATGCAGACTCACTCTTGGCAGTGGCGTATCAATTTGGGATAGAATATCAGGAACGATAGGTACACTGAAATGTTTTGCTGATATAGGAAATCAGTTCATTTAACATGTTCCTGGTCAAAATAGCCAGTGAGATCAACATCACACTGAAAATATTTTGTAGAATGAAAATCCTATAAAATAATTGCATTCCTGATCACATGGCTAAATGAAAATGAATTAATAAGATCAACTATCATTGATACATAGACCTCTTAGTGTTTTACTGATTCTCTTTTGTTTTGCCAAAAACACGAGAAATGAGATTGACCCAACTTTGTGCACATGTTCATAGATGGTGGGCGTATTTTGTTGATATAGTTAATTTATGGACCATAATGTAAAAATTCTCTCACCGAATATCAATGTGTTTCAAAATGTAAACAACATTGAGAATTGAAGTTCCAACTTGACAATGAGCTGTACCCAGCACCTCTTTGAATGAAATTCTGAAATGTATTGGATTTTTTGATTATTTATTATTTCTTTTGGTGTCCGACCGAAACTGGTTTTTATACAACCGAAACCGAATTTCAGCAACGGTCTCAGTTTCGGCCGAAACCGAAACTTATTAAGTTTTGAGGGAAAAATAAAGAAAACGGTATTATAATCAGTCAGTCTTTATTTTTTTTATCTTTGAATCACAACGTTATGCAGTTTTCGACATTTTTACTTAGTTATTGATAATCAACTAATCAAAATCAACATAACAACCCCTTATTTAAGAAAAAATACTAATTGTACACTGAAAATACTTGAAATAGGTGAGGTCTTTATTTGAGTAGGTGTAGATTCCTCTTTTGAATATTATTAAGGGTGTTTCAAAAATATTAAACATAAAATTACTTATTTAAGTTGTTACCTAATATCACAATAGGTACTTAATATTTATGTAATAAACAAAGTAAATCCCAAAGTAAGTCACGAGTCACGACATGATTAGGCACATGAACGCGGCAAAATGTCTTCGTCGCTTGTATGAAATTCAACGCGTCGAACATGACCGATCACAGCACGAGAACTCCCGAATATAGTTTCGGTTTCGACAGGTTTGCCACCGAAACTAAACTGAAACCCGTTTCGGTCGGACACTAATTTCTCTATCAAGAGTGGCGTAGGTTGAGGGTTTTGACAAAATATTTCACATGGGGGTCCAAGTGATCGCACTAGGGATATTCTATGCATCTTTGTGGCAGATATACATACTATTGGTCCATAGAGATCGTTCACCTCATGTTACGAATTTTGGTTAAATTCATTCAATTCGTCAGCACTTCGATAATTAATTTGCAAAAGCACATTCTATATCTCACTTTTAAATCTGATTTTGGCAATTAAAAATATCCAGTATGCAGAAAATTATAAGAATAGTTCCCCATTTGAGATTAGAATTTATAATTACGATATAAAAATAAATTACTCTTTTTGGGAAAGAAAGTTTTTGGCTTTCTACTACTCCAACTTGACACAAAAAAATGTGGGAATCTTCCAAAGAAAGGAAGGAAGCAATACATTTTAAAAGTAGTAACTCTATACATGCTTAGGTGTGTAGATCATGCAAAGAAGTAACTTTCAGATACAAACTGAAAGAAAAAGCTCTCCAGAAACATCTACTTTCATATGAACATTGAATTAGAGGAAAGAAACATTCTTTCGAAGCAAATACTTTCATATAAACACTGAATTATACAAAAACACTTTTATCTACTCAGATTGTATTCCAAACATTCGTTATGGGATTAAATCAGATATCATTCACAGGATTTCTACACAATATACTAAATGAATGATAGAATTTCACTTACATGTAAGTGTCTGAGAGTTACTTATTTGCATGATCTACACATCTATATGTAAGTATAGAGTTACTATACTTTTAAAACTGATTGCTTCCTTCCTTTCTTTGGAAGATTCCCACATTTTTTTTTTGTATCAAGATGGAGTAGTAGAAAGCCAAAAACTTTCTTTCCCAAAAATGAATCACTCCTAAAAATATAACCCTTTCAATATAAAAAATTACTCATTGTGAAATATGAAGTGTCTACAGTGAGAACATTTATTTGTGTAGTATGGAGGAATTAAAAGCTAAGGAACCTTAAATAAACGACTCGTAAACAATGTAAACTGTAAAAGAGTCAGAATGTCAAAGAAACTGCTGACTGATTACCCACGTTTGTTCAACTTTTTCTTTTCGATGTATTGAGTGCAAAATAAAAGCTTCCTCATCTGATGTATTGAGTGCAAAATAAAAGCTTCATCTGATTAATCTCAAATGTTAACTATGTTGTATTCCTTTTTTACTCGTAAAAGGAGAGGATGCTGAATAAAAGTATGTGTTTTATTATGTATTCTGTTGATGACGCATGTACATTCTTCATCATTCTAACTCTTTCTATATGAAAATTTGTTTTTCCGTTAATCGGCTGTCGCCCCCATACGAACGACAACTCTCAGGAGTTGAGAAACTTGTGCGAGGTCTTACCTTTTAACGTGTGATTCCTATGTACCTATCTTTGACAATTTTTCATTCATTCAACTTTCTCTGGTAGTTCTTTCTATGAATGTAATGAAGATGGGTCATAGATACCCACTTTCAGCTTCAAAATCCACCAAATGAAGTGAAAACACGTAGTGTTTCGTGGCGGTGCCGATGGTCTGTAATACACTCCTGTTAAGCTATCAGAACCTATTTGAAAATTGAATTTAATTTCAGGCCAATTTTCTTCTCCATTTTGATTTTTTTTACACTTCCTTCAATGCATTCATCGAAAATATTGCCCGTGGTACCCTACCGAAAAATAAAAATTGTCAAATAGGAACACACCACGATTTTAGCCTACTCATAGTTAGGTTCTGATGGTTCAACTCTTAACGGAAGAATCATTTGAAATCCCTCACATTCAGAAGTTTGAATTTGCAATAATTTCAGCCTAGTTTTGGACTCTGTCATTATTATTTTGATCAATTGTTGTTCCTAATTTGAATTGAATATTAATGTGGTTACCAAAGACATACTCAGTAAGAACGAGAGTGATTTGTTCATTGAATAATATTTTTTTACTAGTTTTCAGAATGAAATCTTCAGATTAAGAAGTTTCGTTGCTCCGGAATTTAAAATACGTTCAGTTAGTACAGGCGATGCCTTCTCTTTATACGAAGACTGCATCTTGTGATGGAGAGAATTCTCAATCTCGCATTATAGGAGATAAACGAACATCCCCAAACGGTCCATTGCAAAATCAAGTTTCTACTTCGATCGCCGAATAAGATTCATCCTCTGTCTTTCACTTCAGCTGTTGCAGTAAGGCAACTAACTGAAACCAGATCCCAAGGTAAAGCATTCGTGATTTGAAACCAAACCATTACATGTCTTATCAGTGGTTGAGACACTAATACATTGCTAGACTCAACTGTTATGAAAAGACAAACCTTATATATGTGATTGACAAAAGACTCCACAAATATCATAGATAACCGGCTCTTCTCTCGTTTGGCTTTGGGCTTCAACTAATAGCCTTGAAATGAAAACTGCAGTTCGACGTTCGATATCTGAAGCCTCGTTCATCTCATCAAATGTTAGTGGATTGAATCTTCTATCCAACCCATAAATATCGTCTGCATACCTAAGGAAAAATGTCATCGCCAGATTTGTTCTTTGATGAAAGTTGAGCCCAACAATGGAATTCGTGGTTCAGCCTAGACTACTGATAAGACCTATGGCGCGTCGAAACAGTGCTGTCTTGTGTTGGATTACGAATACTTAGTTTTTGGGCTCTGGTTTTAACTGTTGTATTGAGTAATTCTTTCCTAACATTTCGTTAGCATGTATGGCTAGCTTCTTCAAATGTGCTTCCATCTCTGATTCTAAAAGTATACTCACCGATTTTAAGCACTGACGATGATGAATAGAAACGGTCCAGTCGGTAAAGTCGTCACCACAGAATTAATTATCCCCAGATAAATGAATCAAGGGTCGGCAAATCTGTTGGAATGCATACTGACGAATAATCAAAGAGCACGATTCTATTGAAAATCAAAATATTTATCTCCACAACTGCTGCTATTGGTTTGATTCAAACCCAAGAATATTACCCGAGTATGCGTATATAGCAACAGTGAAACGAAATAAAATTATATTCAGTCTTAAAGGAAATTTGCAGAAGACAGTTGATTTAAAGTTCAAAGACACTTTATCAGCAATGAGAAATCGGAAGTTGTAAAAAAATTAGCTAATTTGAAAATCAGGCTGCAATGAAGTTGCCGATCAAAATGAGTACAAACAGAAGTTTATGGATAAAGAAACTTCGGATTCGTATATTAAAGTCTTTTGTGCCATCTCAAATTTTAGGAAGTGATGGGTCAAAAATACTTTTTTTACAAAAACTTTCGGTTGTCTTTGTCTGAAGTCTTTGTAGATCTATACTTTTGAAAGCTTTTATGTAATCACAAATTTAATTATCTCCACAATTATAAGTCAAGGTATGACAAATCTGTTGGCCGAAAGACTGATGGATAATCAAAAAACATCATACTGTTCATTATTCGACACAATTACCACCATTACCCGAGATGAATGATTTGAAAGAACAAAATTCTGGCTGGTAGCCGTGGCCAAAAGAAACTTGCAGTACCAAACGTAGTAGTTCCTTTCGACCACGACCTACTAGCCAAATATCAGCAAAATATTCGGAAATTGAATCGAATGGAGTAAAATGAGCTTTTAAACTTTGGAGTGTGAAGAATGTTGTGACTCATAAAAACATTTCGTAAAAGTATTTGATGAAAATAGACATTACGCGGTAAGTTTTTTGTATCACTTCTTAGAAGACATAACGAATTTTAGAGCCATCTCAGATTCTTTCCTGCCTTTCTTACTTCCATGGGAGTAATCTGTAGAACAAATTCCTGATTATCATATGAATCAAATACTCGATCGAATATTTGGGCATGACACTTATTTAGAAAAATACGTAATTTATTTATTTATTTATTCAATACACCCACCAGGCCAAAAAGCCAATTTACAGGTGTATACAAATAGAATTGTAATAATTATACATATTATAAGATTAATTTTGAATGAAACGAAGAATCTCTTTTTTTGAATTGTTTGAACGTTACAAAAAATATATCTAAGTACACTAGGAACATTATTAACACTTCTAGATATAGTAGTTATGGGAGAATGAAAATGATGCAGTGTATTGGAAACCGGAATATGAAATGTGCTAATGGACAATTGATGATATTTTACATATTACAGAATATTTTCAATTATATCTGATTTCACCATCTGCGACTAAAACATAAAGAGTGTTTTTTTAACATTTAAGAAGGATATTTTTGGGTCCATTGGAATACCAACATTACCCTGGACACACCCACACGAAATAAATGAATGCATTAAAATAGGTTAGCGCCGCATCATGCATAAACAACAGTCGATTTCTCGCAAAAATATCTTACATCAAAACTATAATTTTTCGAGAAACTGCCGGTAATTTTGAGGACAATATGTTCATTCGACCTATCATGAAGAAAATAGAGTCCAATGAAACAGGTTCGAACTTCCATCGTCTAACAAACATTTGACACTTGTGAAAGAAAAATAAGCAGGACTGAAGTATTCAAATGGGCTAGTTAGTTAAAATAGTTATTTATTATACAAGGGAAAAAAGTATTAGATTTTAGCTCGAGAGCTATTACAATATGTTAAAGTCAGAAAATTATCGATGTGAAATTTGAATTTTTAAACAGGTAGGCTGTTGTACTTATAGCTTCGCTAGGAAACCAATCAATAGAAAATCAAATATCTGTCAATTTAATTCTGCGATTTGATTTAAAAATTGCGAACTTAGTGGTCAGTAGTTATTTTGAAAAATGTCTAATTCCGAGTTTTCTCTGACTGCACCGGAGTTAGTATAAGCAGCGAAAGTAGTACCTACCACAAAAATTATTGCCAGCTAAATCGCGGAAAATGTATGAAACCGCGTGTTCAAGATTCATGGAAGGGAAGATGAAAAAGACATGCAGTTCTTTCTCGGAGACGGTGTTATTGGCTTATTTTTCGGAACTGGCACAACAGCAAAAGCCATCAACAGTGTGGTCGAATTATTCAATGATTAAAAGTATGTTACAATCCAATAATAATGTAGACATTTCAAAATATTTCAAACTAATTACATTTCTGAAACAAAATGGAAAGGTTACACGCCCAAGAAAGATGCGATATTTACGAGTACATATATTAGTGACTTTTCAAATAATGCTTCCGATGAAGTTAATTTAATGGCCAAGGTTGTTGTTGTATTTGGGATTGCAGGAGCTTGTCGAATTTGTGAAATCAGCCACAGTTAACATTAGATGATATTGAAGATTCGGGATCGTTATTAATTGTGAAACTCAAGCAAACAAAGAATGATGTAAACAGGAGATTTGTAGTTACTGAAGAATATATTAAATTTTACCGAATTTACATAGCCTTCGTCCAGCAGCAGCAAAGGATCGCCGCATGTTTTATGCATATCGCAATGGAAAATGTATCAATCAGGTTGTGGGTTTATGATGCACTGTTTGGAACCTTTGGTGTAGTAATGAATATTACTACCTTTGAAGATGATCACTTGTTGATCGAAACACGTGTCAAGGTGTTAAAAATAACGATTTGGTGTTGGGAAAAAACTCCAGTAATATTCAGGTTGTAGGTACCAATCAGTTTTATAAGCAGTGGCTAATTTTCTTCAACTTGAAAATGCCAATTCATATACAGGTCATTCATTTCGAAGATCGTCTGCTACACTTTTAGTTGAATCTGGGGGAGACTTACATCTGGGAGACTAAAGAAACATGGCGGTTGGAAGTCATCAACGGTCACTGAAGGGTATGTTGATGAATCGGTAGCACACAGGACAGAAATAGCTAATAAAGTGTTCAGAACGTTTGGCAGTGCTGAAATAACACCCACACAAGATTTGCGACCAGGTACATCAACGGCAGTTGTGTCCATGGCAGAAAAAAATATAATTTGTACCGAATAGTACAAATTATTGTGACATGAATTGAAAATTATTGGATGGTTAGAACAATGCAATGAGGGAAGTGAGACTTACAAGCAACATTTTGAAAAAAGATTTAAAACTAAGCCTATTCCTGATACTTGTGACTAATTTTAATTTATTTGGGTGCTTTCACCTCTCTGTTCACGGTTCAGTACAATGTAAACCGTTTACTCGTTAATCAGAAGTTTCCTTAGTCAATTTAAAAAAATACAAGGCGAACTTTCAAATTGTGACGTAGAAGTTGTATAGAAAAGGTACTCATTAACACCCCTCTTAATGTGTATCACATGCCGTCAATAATCTGATGTATATAAAACATTACTAAAAATGAAATATTTCAAAATTCATTGGATGTAGTTCAATTTGAATAATTGATCTTCAGCTATTTATGCAATTAGTATGTTAAATTCACTGTTTATTTTATTCTAATGAAATCAAAAGTTTTCCAGAAATATATTCTTGAGAATTAACAATCAGGATATTTATCACAATGATTTGTATCACAGTTTTCAACAAAAATTATGTTTCTGATAATTCCGAAACATAATTCAGTAACAATCTTATTTAGATACAAAATTGACATCGAAAGAATTGGTATATTTTTGGAAAGAAAGGTTTTGGCTTTCTACTTATTCATTTTTATACAAAAAATATGGGAAACTTCCAAAGGAAGGAACAAAGTAATTGATTTAAAAATAAATTATTTAGTTGTAGATGCGTAGATCACAACTACTTTTGTATAAACATTGAATTACACGAAAGAAAGAATACTTTTGAAACAACAACTTATTTATGAACATTGAATATAACCTTATTTTGAACATTTGATCACTGCGGTAAATTTTTCGAGCTGATTTGGCTCAGTAGAGTTTCTAAAATCTCGATTCGAGAAGGGCGACGCTTAATCATTTAATTAAATTAATTTAAAAACTATCATACGAATAATTTTTAGAGTTTGAAAACGACATTTCTCACTCGACCCAAAACTATTTAAATATTGGGAGCTGAAGTTAGCCGTAGCAAACACAGAAAAGTGTCTCTGTTTATACGAAAATCGACAATTTGCTGTGTTTTTCTAAAATATTGACCAAGCTTCATAACGGGCTTGTTTCATTTTCGTTTCAGCCACCCTGTATAATACTATTACTAAAACTGCACTTTCATATTATCTGACATGATTTTGTTTTTTTTTAAATTGTTTATTCGATTGTGTTTTACTCAATACAGGGTGTAACATAAGTTCGACGTTAAAATATTCAAGTGCGGAAAACTAA